TGTTGAGTTGTCACATATTCACTTGGCTTTAACTTTGTCCTCAGCTGCTGGTGAACCTGCTCTGGGCTCATTTTTTTCCCTTGTTCTTCTCCAGACATAAACATCTGCATTAACAATGTTTTCTGCTTTGAAGAATATCTGAACACTTTTCTTTTTGGTAATGCCCACCCAGTGATGTCTGTGAAGTTTTCAATCCCTTTAATGACAGATTGGGATGACGGCAGATAATCATAAGAATTTAGGTTTGAAATTTTCATTTTGTTGATATAAGATAGTTTTGCTCTGTCTACCATTGATTTCTTCACAGATTGAAAATTGTGGTTTTCTGATAACAAGTGTACTTCTAATGATTCATTGTCAAAAAATGAATCAGTGCAACCAAATTGTGTACAAAACTTTAAAGTGTTAACTCTTCTATCAACACGTGGTTTTTTGGAAATTGTTGGGGCAGTATAAATTTTGCAAGTCGAACTAAAGGGCTTAACAATTTCAACTGAAGTATGGAATGTCACATTTGTATAGTTCCATTTTTTACCTTTACCAATTCGGAAGTATCTCCACATTATCATGTGATCAGGGAAAAACTGAAAAGAATGATAACTGCTTATGTTGGGAATCAGATTTGATCCTGATAAAATAGAGGCTTTGGAATTTATTATAACTACAGCAACATCAGCGTTTTGAATTCCTTTACCATTATGAAGAGCCTCATAAAGATCTTCTGCAGTCAATAAATTGTTTCCTGCGTCAACAAAACTCCTAATGACACATTTCGCTCCTGCTGACTCTCTATCACATTGATCTTTTCCACGCGAAGGCTCGTTGTAATCATACCTTTTAAGGAAAAATTGTTTTGCTTTGCAAACATTGTAAAGGGCTTCTAAGTAGAAGTTTCCATGATAAGATGATGCATTATCTGACTTAGCATAAAGATTCTTTAAATAAGGAAAATCATTTTTAACTTTGGCCAAAACAACATCAGCGAGACAGAGTACATCAACAAGGCTTTGCTCACATCTATATACAGCAGTAAAATACACTTTTTTTTTCATTCGACCATTTTCATAGAAGAAGAAGACATCAACATGTAGAGTCATTCCTTTTTTCCCAAAATATTCTTTTTGGCCTTCACGGAATTTAGCGGGCAATATTTTTTGACAAAAATCCTTTAGCCAAAATCCTGTTTCCTCATCAAGTTGCTCAAAAGCCATTATTTTGGCCATTTTTTGCTGCGCATCACGAATTTGATGTTTCATATAGGCTTCAACATCTTCTGTAGCCACATTTAAATCATATAGTAGATCTTCATCTTCACTTTGTATAACCAACTCACGAATCTGATTGATTACTGAAATGAGGTCAGTACAGTCAATGCATTGTTCATCGTCAGCGGTTATGTTTGATTGGTTTAAGTCCGGATCTATATCCGAAAGGGCAAATGAAGTTGAGTGACTATGCAAAGTTGAATTTTCACTACATTTGGAAGGATAATTACTCTTCAGATACCTTTTACCTTTTTCAAGAAACTTAGTAACATTTTTATATTTCCACTTCTCAGAAATGGCAATTAATGTTTGGAAACCGTTCATGCCAGCTGCTGTAACATCATCAAGACCAGCTAAAGATTTCCTTTGAGAAGGTTTTATTCCACAAAGAATTCTCCATAAAGAACTATCTGACATAGGGACATAATTAGTTTCTAGGCAAATTTCTTTATAAAATGTGATTGTATGGCTAAACTTCATCATCAAAATGGCATTAGCCACTTTTTGTTTCTCTCCGTTGTCAAACTTTATTTTATTTATACCATATGCTACATCTTGAAGCAGACCTCGAGAAAATAAAAATTCCAAAAAATGTTCAATTTTTTCTTGAGGCATTCGGCATATTTTTACCTTACCCTTCTTTGGTATGGAAAGTCCAATGTTTTCTTTCTGCAACTTGCGTCCTTTTTCTATTTGATGTTTTTTGCAATCAAAGACTTTCATTAATGTCTCTTTAGTGTACTTATTATGATTAACAACTGAAAGCAAAAGAATTTTTCCTAAAGAATCGCTTTCTTGGAACATCTTAACTTGTACAATTAGGTCTTCTGGAACCATTTCAGTTGCAACATTTTCATCTTCACTGTTTAATACTTGGTTTATAAGTGCTTCTGATTGACCAGGTGCAATTGCTTCAGCAAATATCTTCTCGAGCTGCACTTTACATTTCTCAAATTTTTTTTTAACTTTCTGTTTAGTTCCTTGTGTTAAGTCTTCTATTCGCTTTTGCGTTATGTGAAAAGACAGTGGACTTGCTCCTAGTGCTTCACACAAAGAACTAGCTTTTAATTTTGATTCTTCGATGGTCTTATCTGAAATGATTGCTAAATCTGGAACATAAACTTTATCAACATAAGAACTAGACTTTACTGTTGGAATTGGTTCTATCATGTCAATAATATTATCTATAGAAATAGTTTTTAGGTGCTTGAAGCAAAATACGGCTCCAATAGGTAGCGATGAATTACTTTTATTATAAGTAGCAAGGGTATTCAAAGGTATGGATCTAATTTTTGGTGCTTTTTTACCAACTTGAAATATATGACTTGGGTATTGACATCTGTTTGGCGGCTTCCATCCAATACCAAAAGAAAAACGGTGGTATGCACATAACCAGTCGTCGCATGAAAGATAAGTTTGTAATCGACTTTCAATTAGAGTTTTTTCATTATACTGGTTTGTCTGCGGTAACTATAAAATAGTAATGTTAAATTTGTCATCTATTTGTTGGAGGTATTGTTGCTTATAATTAAAAATATATATATTAATTGATAAATTATACCTTTAGTACTTGTAAATGATTACTTATGTCAGCAGTTAATTCATTAATTTGAAAGATCCCATGTTGTTTCCAACGCTTAAAAGGGCCACAAGAAGTCTGTCCTTTATCAAAATACACGCATTTTTCATAGAGACTGACTATATTGTTGCTCTCTGACATTTTGTATTTAACTTTTATTTTTTATTTTATTATTTTTTATTGAATAAACAAAAGATAACAAAACAAAAAAACTTTATTTCGTAGTTTCTCATCTCATGCTATGGCTATTTATTAAATTCATGTGCTAATTCTTCGAGAAGAATGTGTCTCCAAGGAAATAGTCTTGCAATCATTAATAATTGTCTAAAGAAAGTATTACAAATGACTGCCCAAAGGGAATTGCTTGTGTAGCAATCATTACAGTCATTAAAAAAAGTATCTTTAATGTCACTTCTTTACTTTGGTTATTACACTTTTGCCATCGCATTCTTTGAACCTATTGTTGCGCATTTTGTTACATTAAAAAAGCTTAAAAAATAATTTTTATCAAGCACTTTTGTACAGTTTATACAGTTTTGTTATAAAAATGTATTTTTTATATATTTTTAATTTGAGTACTAACTATTAAAGAGTAAAAGTAGCCGTTGCTAAGCATATCTATGTCGTTGCTAGGGTATTTTGTTGGTTAAGAATATGGCAAAATTAGACTATTTCTAGGACTTCTCTAGGCTTTTTATCGCTTGAGCACATGGATTTTTTTTCAGATATTGGAAGATGCATGTATAAGGTAACAAAATAACTTATACGTTTCATGGCAGACCTAAGGCCACGATTGTTATTTGTAATCTAACAAAGCGTATTAACCGCGAAAATTCATTTTTGGAAGCTTACTCTTTCTCAGGCTCTTGCATACTCATAATTTTTTTTCTATAAATTCAATGTATACCTTATTGGCTTTCAAAAACAGTTAAGTAAATTATGTGCAAGTAATGGCCTTAAGAGATATAAATGGTCAAAGTACGGGTAAAATTTCAAATTTAGCGGTTTTGAACCGTGATTTCTAGACAACAAAAAGTGTAAACATTTTGAATTTTTATTTTAAGCAGAGAAATCCAGCTAGAGTAATAGAAAAAAGAAAAAGAAATGTGTTTCTCAAGTTCATATTGCTAAAATTGTCCCTAAAAGTAGTAATTCCATTTCATGCACCAATATTTTTACAAAATGGGCCAAATTTCGACCCCCGATATCTCCGCAAATAATGGGAGTTTTCGAAAAAAAATTTAACTGTGGCCTAATTTCATTGTGTTTTATAAGATATCTGAAAATAAAGAGATTTTAAAGACATCACTTCCAGACTTTGCCTATCTTTCTCAGATAATGGCTCTTAAGTATACATATGTTAACCCATTATTATCATCTTCTCATATAGAATTTTAAAATTATGAATTTTTTTTTGTAAAGAGTTTTATGTAGAGTACTTTGTTTATATTAACAAAGAAAACTTTTGTTAATACAGAAAGTTGAATCAAGATAAATGACGGAGTTAACATGTTTGACGTAACTACAACCCATGACCCGTGTTACGGGTCGTCCTTAGCTAGCTAATTATGAAAATATAGTTATATATTTATACTAATTATAGTAGTTCATTAAAAACGCCTTTTGATGCATGTTAGAAAATCTAGTCTCCCACACAAACCAATAGATTTAAAAAAAAAGGCTTCATCATTGGCATATATTATTATATACATTATAATTTATTATATGTTAACATCATTTATTTGATTTATAATGACAAAATATAAACATAATTTATAATATAAGTTATAAATCACGCATAGACTCCATTAAAATTTTTTTGCTTGTTAAAAAAAAAAAATATGTAACACAAAGCGCAGATACACAAAAATAAATTTTCTCTTTACATTAACAAACTATTTTCTTTCTTTTGTTTATTTTTTAATTTAAATACATCGTTTTGCGCAAAGCTAAAAACGTTACAAAATAGATTAATTTAATAACATTTCATTCACTAATATTTGTTGTAAAAAAGTTATTTGTGAATCCTAAAAAATCTAAAAACTAAATTGAAAAATTGAAAAAGTTCTCAACAAAGTTCCAGGGAGTAGCGCTATTTCAAGTAGTTATGTAACAAAGTAGAAAAAATTCACGTAGAAAAGAATCTGAACAAAAAATTTACAAGAGAAAATATAAAAATACATAATAGATGTTTTGTACATGAAAAAATTCAAATTGCAGTTCTAGTTAAAGACTTTAACAAGTTATGTCGTTTCGAGTGGCGCATATAACTACAGGATCGCCGTTCGGTTTTGCTTGCACAACGCATTGTTGACACTGGGAGTTGACGCGTTGAATGTTGAATGACATCACATCGTATAAAGATTTTGAAACGATGTTAACAGAAGTAAAGTCAGTTGTAAACAGAGCTCCGTTACTGCTGTCAGTCAGCTTTTTAAATGCTGAATTGGTTAAACTATAAGAGCCTTTTTGAGAGCCGGAAGGAGCTTTGTCCGAATAAACTCTATGAGCTGTTTCTGCTATAAAGTTTCCTTTTAACTGCTGTGCTAACATCTTTGTCTGGAGATTTTGGAAGACAACTAAAGTGGCATTGGCTTCTTTTTCTAAGAAATGTTGAGCTTCTATCTGTGTGACACCAGACAATGAAGACTTGACATCATCTTCAGTGTAAAGTATAAATATGCGACTCGCACCTGGCCGGAAGGATAGTTTTGATGCCATTGTAATGGCCTCGAAAGCATCATTAAATGAATTATCTTCGCCATTGAATTCCATCTTTTTCATTTCCTTAAGTAAGTCATCCGATGAACCAAAAATGTCACCTGTTCCAATAGGTCGAATGTGTGAACTCTCGTGAACTCCTTTTCCGCCAAAACCAATAAGAGCATAGCGTGTATCGTATTTGTTTACTCTCAAAAATTGTTGTACTTGAATCATGATCTTCATAAGCTGTTTCTTAAAATCTTTTCCTGATACTCTATCAGATACAAGCATAACAACATCAACTGACCCTGTCGGTTTAAGATTCCATTCCTCATTCATCTTGTGAGAGTCAAATGCAACTAAAGAAAACATATTAAGATAACCAATAAAATGTTTTGTTTCTATATAATAAAGAAAACTAAATAGTGCAAAATATCACAAAAATTCTCAAAATAAGGAGTAAATATCAAATGTACAAATACCCTTACCACAATCAGGACAGAAGTCTGGTTTTTCTCCTAAAGCTTTAAGTAAACCTCTGTATGCTGTAACAGAACTGCAATGACCAATCGATTTACAAGATGTATCATCTTCACAAGCTTTCAAAAATGGTTTAGGATCTGCAATTTTAAAGAAACGAGCAAACATAGATGAAGTTGAGTTAAAAAGTTCTTTGCACTTGGCAGAGGGGGCATTAGAACATGCTTTTTCTTTAGGTGTGGCAACACAGGATCGTTTTTTTGAAACTTCATAAGCATTTGCAAACTTGTAAATGTTGTCTGCAATCTTGCCATCTGGCATTTTCCAATCATCGTAAGATTCGTGATTGTAAGTGCCCAAAACACCTATGAAAATAATAGTTTAATTAAACAAATTAATTAAAAAATTATATTTCAGATAGTTATGAAAAAATTTTCAAAATAGAAAACTTAATAGTGCTCCTAAAAATGTTCAATTATTCTGTGAAACAAAAAAAATATGATAAACTATTCCGTAAAACAAAATAAATAATTCCGTGAAACAAAATAGATATGTTAAATTAATCCGCGAAACTAATCTTTTTGAAAGATGTTTAGGGAATATTCTTTTTTGAAAAATGTTTCAGAAAATGTTTTTTGAAAATGCCAAATTACATGATAACCAACTTTTGTGTTTTTATAATTATAAAATTTAAAAAGATACCTAAAACATTTATTGAATAATAATTACAAAATTGATACATTTTAAATAATATAAATTATTACCTTGGGTCTTTCCAAAATGCCAACTACTCAATTGAATAGTAGTAACAAAGTTGATTAGATCTACACTGACAAAAATACCCTGTTCAATAAATTCACAACGTATAACATCATACAGTCTAACACATTTACTGGATTCAGACTCAACTGGGAGAGAGTTAATGGTTTTGTTGCCAATTGTAGCCTGAGTCTTTCCATCATTTTTAATTTTAATAGACATATCAGGAGTGTTAACAATGGTAGTGTCTGATTGGCGCATTATACTAAATTTTCCATGAACAAAATCTCGAGCTAACAAGTAAGTGCAGTCGCGTTGATTATAATCAATAAAATCATAAACTTTTCTGTCAAAAGTGATAACGTGGTTATTTCCAAAAATTATAGCTGTAGCTAAAAATTAATATATAAAAATATATTAAAAACATCATATATGAATATATACAACTCTCGGAATTAGGAAAAATGAAATCGGCAATAATTTGCCGATCTTAATCTTTTAGAGGTCGGCATCAGGTCCTCAAAAATTATATTTTACAAAGGTCTGACCCTAAAACATAGAAACGAGGCCGGCAATACTTTGCCGACCTAGAACACTTTCAGGTCAGCAGATAGGTCGGCATTGCCGAATGCCGACCCTTATTCCGAGGGTTGATATAAATGTATGTATGTATATACATACATATATATCAACAAATATATATACATATATACATATATATATATACATATATATATATATATATATATACATATATATATATATAAATATATATATATATATACATATATACATATATTATATATATATATATATATATATATATATATATATATATATATATATATATATATAAATATATATATATATATACATATATACATATATTATATATATATATATATATATATATATATAAATATATATATATATACATATATACATACATATATTATATATATATATATATATATATATATATATATATATATATATATATATATATATATATATATATATATATATATATATATATATATACATATATATTTATATATATATATATATACATATATATAAAGTAAGAGGAAAATTACATTATATTATTACAGTATATAAATCTATTTATGAGAAAGTTCAATAATGTAAATAAAGTTACCAAGTGAACTCATAAGAGATTTCTTTTGGTCATTTATGAAACTAAATTCATTTCTCACATACTGTAATAATGCGACTTCTTTGGAAACAACAACTTTGAAAATGTTGGTAATATAACTTTTTATATATGTAACTTGCATTTGGATAGATTCAGTAAATCTTTGACAAGTTTCAATATGGTTGATGCATAGAGCTTGACGAATATTTTCTAGAGTTTCATATGAAGCATATTTAGTTAAGTGTTTGAATCTTCTGGTTATTTGATAAAAAGCTTTTTCAGCAGAAACTCCTGACTTCCAGTTATTAAATGCTGTTTCAAATTCACTGTAGGTAATTTTTATTTGTTTCAACAAATTTACAAAATTGGTTGTAAGTAAACTTTTCTGTTGGTTGAATATTGAAGCAATCTTAGGCTGGTATAGTTGGTACATTTTGATGGCTTTTGCTCTTAAGAAAATTGGTGTTTCCTTTAAACTTTTATGTACTGTTTCAAAAATAACATATAAGTTTTCAGGAGTAACTTCAGATTTCCAGTCATTCAGTTTAGATTCAAGTTTATTGTAAATCAAAGTTATTTGTTTTGACAACTTATTTGCTTTTGCTATAAATAATGTTTGGTGATCTTTTAACATCACAACAATTTTTGGTTGGTATTGATCATACAAATTTTCAGCTTTAAAGCTCCAAAAATTAAACAATTCTATAGACTTTTGGTAGATGGATTTCAAAAATGCAGATGGATCTTTCTTGAACTCAGAGAATAATGTGTTTCCTCTGATGAACAATTTTTTTAATTCAACATTTGATTTCTCGTAAAATGTTACAGACCACATATGGGCTCGCTTATTCAATTCTGTATATAACATCTCAACTTGTTTTTTGTAGTTAGAATAGATGGTCAGAGCTTGTTCATAATTTTCAACAGAAAATTTCTGGGATTCAGAGTAAAACTTTTCTGTCAAATTTAAATACTCCAAAGAAAGTGACTGAACTTGATTGTAGTAATCAAAGTACAGTGTTTGGGCTTCATTAATATTTTTGTTATAAAATTCCTGCGCATCGTTTTTGCACTTGATAGTTATACTTAAAATTTGATTATAATATTTCAGAGATAAATCCTGGGCTTGTTTAAAATACTCCAAAGAGAATTTATTGATTTGATCATAATTCACTGAAGTCAACTTTTGTACTTGATTATAGTAATCTGAATAGAGGATTTTTGCTTGACTTTTGTATTCTGTGTAGATCTTTTGTGATTGATTGTAATACTCCAAACAAAACTCCTTGGCTTTACTATAGTATTCTGGATACAATATCTGGGCTAGATTATAATATTTGAAAGAAAATTCTTGAACCTGATTGTAGTATTCTGAATACAACTTCTGAGTTTGATTAAAGCAATTCGATGAGATCTCTTGGGCTTGAGTATAATACTTTAAAGATAACTGCTTAACATGGTCATAGTATTCTGGAGATAATTTCTTAGCTTGACTATAATATTTTAATGAGAGTTCCTTTGCCTGATTGTAGTATTCCAAATATAATTTCTCTGATTGATTAATATATAAAAATGAGAAATCCTGGACCTGAGTAAAGTACTTTAAAGAAAACTGCTTCATTTGATTGTGGTATTCTATATACAATTTCTGGGCAGGATTGTAATATTTCAATAAGAACTCGCTGGCTTGATTGTAGTATTCTGGATACGAATTCATAGCTTGGTTATAATACTTTAATGACAACTCTTTTACCTGATTGTAATATTCTGAATACAGTTTCTGGGCTTGTTCATAATATTTCAATGAGAGATCCCTGGCTTGATTGTAGTATTCAGGATATGATTTTGCAGCTTGATTATAATATTTTATAGAGAACTCTTTGGCTTTGTTGTAATATTCTGAATACAATTTCTGGACTTGTCCATAATATTTCAATGAAAGCTCCTTGGCTTGATTGAAGTATTCTGGATGTAATTTTTCAATTTGATTGTAATAATTTATCGAGAACTCTTTGGCTTGGTTGTAATATTCTAAATACAAATTCTGGGCTTGTTGATAATGCTTCAATGAGAACTTTTGTGCTTGAGAATAGTACTTCAAATACAACTCCTTGACTTGATCATAATATTCTGGATACAACTTCTTAGCTTGGTTATAATATTTCATTGAGAACTCCTTGGCCTGACTGTAATACTGTGAATACAAAACTTCAGCTTGATTATAGAATTTCAATGAGAACTCTTGGGCTTGAGAACGGTACCTCAAGCACAACTCTTTTGCTTGATTGTAGTATTCAGGATACAGGTTCTGGGCTTGATTATAATATTTTATTAAGATCTCTTGGACTTGGGTGTAGTAATTCGAATAATACTTCTCTACAATGATAAAATACTCAGAAAGAAGCTTCTGTGCCACATCAAGATATTTGGAGTAGAATTCTTTAGCTTGTTTATAATATTCCAAACTTTGTGTCTGAGCATGAGAGTAGAATCTTGTAGAGATCTTCTGGGATTTTTCATAATAGTAGGCTACAGAAAAATTGTTAATGAATTTGTTAGCTTCTATTTTGATAGTCTCAAATTCATTTAAAGCATTTTTGTAAACAGCATTTAGTTGTTGCATTCCATTTTCAATACCTGTTTCCAAAATTTTTCTGTTGCTATAATAGCTAGCCAATAGGGTTGTTTTAACTTCTTTAGAGTTGGTCAAAAAATATTGGATTTTAGTAACCAGTTGTTGAACTCTTGCTTTTAATTCTTCAAACTGTTTTTCAATTGTCAAAACCAGGTCGCTTCCTTTCATTTTAACACTTTCAATGCTTCGCCTTGATCTTACTCCAATAGAGCTCAAGTGATGACTGAATTTAGGTGTTATCTCACTATGATAAACATTGATAAGCATCTTTCCCTTTTTGGACTCAATGGAGACATAATTTCCTAACTCAGTCATGTAAGCACTGAGTACTGAGTCTAGGTCCTTTTTAACATTTTTCAAGTCGAAATTGTTGATGTATTTACGACTTTCATCAATTACATTTTGTGCAATAAGAATATACTTGCGAGCTAATTCTATTGCAATGTTTTTGTAGTCAGCGATGAGTTTCTTAACAATGGGATGATATTCCTTAACAAATTTTACAATCATTTCTTTATATGGAAATACAACTTTTTGTATTTGTTCCATGTATTCAGCAACAAGTTTCTCTGCAACGTCTTGATATTCTTGGATATATCTGTTTGCTAAAGCTCTGTATTTTGCAACAACTTTTGGTGCTTGTTCTGCGAATTCTTCATAATACTTTAGAACAAGTATTTTGTATTCTGCTGCTACTTTTTGAATAAGTTCTTTGTATTCACCATCATAGTACTTGAATGCAATAACCTGGTATTCCTTTGCATATTGTTGAGCCATGTCTTTGTATTTCAATGCTATTTTTGGTGCTTGTTCTTTGATTTCTTCATAGTACTTGAGTGCAATAACTTGGTACTCATTTGCATATTGTTGAGCCATGTCTCTGTATTTCGATGCTATTTTTGGCGCTTGTTCTTTGATTTCTTCATAGTACTTGAGTGCAATAACCTGGTACTCCTTTGCATATTGTTGAGCCATGCCTTTGTATCTTAATGCTATTTCTGGTACATGCTCTTTGAATTCTTTATAGTACATGAATGCAGTAGCCTGATATTCCTTTATATATTGTTGAGCCATGTCTATGTATTTCAATGCTATTTTTGGTGCTTGTTCTTTGATTTCTTCATAGTACTTGAGTGCAATAACTTGGTACTCATTTGCATATTGTTGAGCCATGTCTCTGTATTTCAATGCTATTTTTGGTGCTTGTTCTTTGATTTCTTCATAGTACTTGAGTGCAATAACTTGGTACTCATTTGCATATTGTTGAGCCATGTCTCTGTATTTCAATGCTATTTTTGGTGCTTGTTCTTTGATTTCTTCATAGTACTTAAGTGCAATAACTTGGTACTCATTTGCATATTGTTGAGCCATGTCTCTGTATTTCAATGCTATTTTTGGTGCTTGTTCTTTGATTTCTTCATAGTACTTGAGTGCAATAACTTGGTACTCATTTGCATATTGTTGAGCCATGTCTTTGTATTTCAATGCTATTTTTGGTGCTTGTTCTTTGATTTCTTCATAGTACTTGAGTGCAATAACTTGGTACTCATTTGCATATTGTTGAGCCATGTCTCTGTATTTCAATGCTATTTTTGGTGCTTGTTCTTTGATTTCTTCATAGTACTTAAGTGCAATAACTTGGTACTCATTTGCATATTGTTGAGCCATGTCTCTGTATTTCAATGCTATTTTTGGTGCTTGTTCTTTGATTTCTTCATAGTACTTGAGTGCAATAACTTGGTACTCATTTGCATATTGTTGAGCCATGTCTTTGTATTTCAATGCTATTTTTGGTGCTTGTTCTTTGATTTCTTCATAGTACTTGAGTGCAATAACTTGGTACTCATTTGCATATTGTTGAGCCATGTCTCTGTATTTCAATGCTATTTTTGGCGCTTGTTCTTTGATTTCTTCATAGTACTGGAGTGCAATAACCTGGTACTCCTTTGCATATTGTTGAGCCATGTCTTTGTATCTTAATGCTATTTCTGGTACATGCTCTTTGAATTCTTTATAGTACATGAGTGCAGTAGCCTGGTATTCCTTTATATATTGTTGAGTCATGTCTATGTATTTTAATACTATTACTGGTACATGTTCTTTAATTTCATCATAGTACTTAAGTGCAGTAGCCTGATATTCATTTATATAATGTTGAACCATGTCTCTATATTTTAATGCTATTAATGGTGCTTGCTCTTTAATTTTTTTATAGTACCTGAGTGCAATAGCCTGGTATTCTTTTACATATTGTCGAGTATGCTCTATATATTGACCCATAAATTTTTCAGCAATTGGTTGATATTTATGAATATATTTTGTTACAATTTCTTTGCACTTCTGAAAAACTATTTTTGCTTGCTCTCTATATTCTTTTGTGTATATAAGGACCTTATCTTTGTATTCCTGTGTAATTTTAAGAGCAACATCTTTGTATTCTTCGGAGACTTTTAGGATTACCTCTTTGTACTCATTAAATGTTGGAATGATATTTTTATATTCTGAAAACAGTAAATCTCTGTATGTTTTAAATTTTTCATCAAGATGGTAGTATTGGTAAAAGAAAAGAGTTGATTCTGTGATTTCATTTTTAACCCATGTGATCATTGATAATGAAGAGGCCACGAATGGCTTTACAAGTTTAACAAGATCATTTTTATTTTCATCAAATTGAACCAAAACTTCTTTATACATACTGTGATAATGATTCTTAGCTGTTATCATATTTTTGTAGACTAAATTGTAATTTTCATTCATTGATTTATACATAATGCTGCAAAAATGGTGACAGGTATTATAATAATTATTGTACAATTGAGAGAAAACCTTTGGGACTTTTTCACTTAACTCTAAAATATTTTTTTGGTACTTATTGTAACTTGTGATAATAACTTTTTTAATTTGTGAAGGAAGTCTAAGTAATGCACTGACAGTTTCTTTTATTGTCATTTTACGGAGAGACACTAAAGTTACATGCAGATCACTTTGCATCCACTGGGAATATGATTCACTGTATACTAAATCAGTCATATCTATAGTATTTTTAATGAATTCATTAAAAACCTGTTTAGATTTCAAGGTAATTCCATCTAACTGTGATTTAACTTTCAAATAAACATCATTATACTTTCCAACAACAAGTGGATAAAACTCATGGTAGTATTGTTGAACTGTTGCCTCTAAGCTTGCATAGTATGGTACTAAAGTCTGTTTGTATTGTGTAAAATAAACATAAAGTTCAGTGTGAAGCTGAGTACACAAGTTTGTTACTTTTATTTGATACTGATCGAATATAGTAATAGCATTCAACTTATAGTTTTCAAATTGTGCAATAAAGCTGTTGCTGTATTCATTGTACAATGCTCTTCCTTTCAACTGAACATCATCAAACATTTTTTTAACTTCTAAAAGTTTTTCAACCATTTGATTAGTACTTGTTTGAACAAATAAAACTACGTCAGAAAGAGTTGTGTCATCAAGAGTTTTCAAAGTTTGCGATACTAGTTCTTGATATCTTTCATCAACCTTTTTTATAAGGTGGTTATAATTTTCTGCCAGCTCTTTGTACTGATTCAGTGTTATTCCTTTTGTTTGGTGATATCTATCAAAAACTTGTGTGTTAAGGTCATTATTTTTGTTGTTAAATTCAGCAAGTGCCATATCTTTGATGTCAACAAATTTGTCTTGGCCTTTTCCAGCAATCATACGTGCCACTACAAAAAGTTCATGGTTTGTCAACTCATTTTTAAGGTTGTTCCATAGAGGATTTGCAAAAATAGAACTAATAGGGCATTTAGACCATTTCTCAGGTAATAAACTCATTTGGTTGTTGTACCAATTTGTTATCTGTTTAACATTCTCTTGATAAAAGGAAACAGTGGTTTTAGTGTAAGAAATTAAATCTTTTATTTTCATTTCTAGTGACTCACTGGTTGATTGAGCATATTTGACTGCTTTTTTTATAGAGGTTTTAGTCCATTCATTGAAATAGTCATCTTCTTTTATCTCCAGCAACCATCTTGAATATTTTGTATTAATTTCTAACAGATCAATGGAAATAATAGATTGGATGTTTCCTTTAGCTACACTCAAAGTTTTCCAGAATGTTTCTTCAGGATATTGACGGAATAAAGTAGCAACTTTATTCATCTCACCAAAAACTCGTTTAACTGTTGCCCAAGTTTCTGCAACAATAGCATTATAACCAGGTTTCAGCTTTTGTGTAGCTTTATTTAATGTAAATATTCCACTCTCGCGAACATTTTGTATAAGAACTATGATTTCATCAATGTTAAACTGTTCTGAATAATATTTTTTTAACTCTTCAAAATATTCCTGGATCTTGTTTAAAGCTTGTTCAGTCTGTAGTTTGTATTCTTCGGTTGGATTTAATTTTAACTCATTCATTTTTAGTTCTACAGTTTCTTTTAACTTCTTAAACTCAATACTTGATTGCTTAACATATTCGTGGTTGATAGTTTGCACAACTATGTCGTTGTTTTGTAATTTAGTAGAAAAATTGTTAAGTATGTTTTGTAACTTTGTTAAATTTTCTTCTAGAACAATACTGTTTCTTTTAGAAACTTCTTCGGACAAGTCTAACACTTTGGTTTTCATCTCTTCTGTAAACTTGCTCAAAATATCAGTTATAAGATAGAAATGCGGAGAGTAGGCATTAACTGTTTCATTTGCTAAAATAACCGAAAGTCGAAGTGTTTGATTAATAAATGACTCTGATTCAGCTACTAGCTCAGGAATAATTACAGTTTGTAGTAAAACATTTGCTTTAGTATAATAGTTATGTGAAAAGTTTTGAAGCGTTTGAATCACTGTATTTTTCAAACCATTTACATTTTCTTCAAACAATTCATATTGTTTATTAAACTCAGTAACAGTCATTGCAGTAACTTCAGAGTATATCTTTTTTAAACTTTTATTCTTGTTAACATTATAAACTACAATAACTTGATCTTTTATTTCAGATGCCTGGTTTTGTATGAATTTTGATATTTCATTTATTATTCTCTTAATATCTGCGATTCTTTTTCCTATAAATATTTTGAATTTAAAAACCATCTTAATGACCTCAGGTTGAACTTTGCTTTGGATATTTGTCAAATATAAATTAAAGTGAGTAGCTGTCATAATGTACGTTTTTTCAATTTCATCTTTCAAAACATTTGATAACTTTAACAAGTTATTATATAGTTTTATTGTGTTCATTTGTGTTTCTTTTGCAATCATTCTTCCATGAGCACATACTACTTGGATGATTTCTTCCCAAGTCATATCTTCATACTGAGTTAAAAGGTGTTGATAAGTTGCATATAACTTCGCACTCACTTCCTTTAATTGAACTTGTATTTTGTTCCAAGCAATGTTTAGTTCTGAAATTAATGTTTTAAAAAATTCAGATGCTTGATCTAGAACAGCATTATAGCTTTCAGTTACAAAACCAGTAACAATGCTTTTATAATAGATAAACAACTTTTTGGAGGGCCCCTCTACATCGTCATATACAAGTTCAGACTTTTCTTTCATTTCACGACACAGTTCTTTGCACCACTGTTTTAAAGGTACAACATACTCATCATATATTTGATTGTAATCAATTTTTGATATTTTATAAACCTCAATTTTTGAAAGATGTGCATATAACACTTCTAGATGAACTTTATATGTGGCATAAGCATTACTTAGACGATCATTGTAAATGGTTTCTTTACTGAAGTTATAAATTTGGTTTCCAAAAGAATGTATTTCTTTGCTGTAGTTTAAAGCATAGGTTTTTAACTCAGTCAACAATTGTTTATACTCAAGATTAGCCATTTTTGATAAATAAGGATCCATATTACTATAGAGATTTGTTGTCAAGACAAGAGCTGAAGCGTAAATATCAGCAACTAATTGTTGAACCATTTGAACAGTCTTAAGAGCAATTTCTGTTGTGTTGATAGTTTTACTTTGTTTAACAATCTCTTCAATAATGCTGTCCATTTGAAGTTTACTCATTTGAACTGATGAATTAGCATTCTTTATTATGCTTTCTGTTAAGTCCATTTCGCTTAATTTTTTTAATGCTTTTGATAATTCTTCAGCTGTAGATAGAATGTTTGATTTGAATTGATTGGCAGAAGAATTGATAAAAAGTGAATCAATTACATCCTTCAATGATTTAGACGTTAACTCAGTACACTGTGATTTTAATTGATTCCAAAGAAGTTTTACTTGCTGTAAAATATCAGAAAACAACTTTTCATGCTCAGTTATTTTTTTGACAAAGAATTCAACAACTTCTTTTTTTTTAATATCAGACAATGCAATATTGCGCACTATTTCTTCTTGAGTTGCTTTGGAAATCTTTTTAACAGCACTGTTTAACAGATTGATCTGATCATCTATGTTCATTCTTGCTTTAACAGTTTCTTTTGCATAGTCTTCAAACCTCAATTTTTGCATATTTAACCATGATTCCAAATTGTTAACTTCAAAGTTGCTAATTTGTTTCCTCATTGCAATGTAAAATGGTTGAATAGGCTCAAGCATTGGCAACAAAATTTTCTCTATCATGACCCATTTTTCTCTTAAAAACTTTTCAATATCTTGGATGTGTATAACAGAAGCTTTTTGAAGTACTTCGTTTGCAGATTTTGTTAAAAAAGGTTTGAAATGTTTTATAACAGCTGCATTAACAAACTTAATATGATCCATTAAAGGAGTTAGAAATTTTATTACTTTATTTACATATAATTCGGTTTTTGATTGAATTTTTTGTATAACTTTTTGCATGTCATTCAAAATGAAAATATTTACATTGTTTTTTAAGATTGCAATATGCTCTTCTATAGATTTATTTTCAATCTTGAAATTTATAAGTTTTATTTGCATTTCTTCAAAATATGTCTGCAAGTTCAAATCATGTATTTGATTTTTTAGCTTCAAAGTCAATTCCATAATTAAATTTTTAAGTTCAAGCCCTTTTTCTGCTATAATAGCTAAAACATTTTCCATTGTCTCATTTGTGTATGGAATTTTAAACAGCAAAATATTTTCCCTGTTAACTAAGTATTCTTCTTTTAACTTTGATACCAACACAGTTAAATTGTTAGATGCACTCATTGCATAGTCAGTTAGATATTGTATACCTTTTGATTGACTCAAAACAAATTCTTCCACAGTCACTCCTTGCACTTTGAACCCTCTAATTAGCTCAAAGGCTTTAACTACGACAGGCTGACTAGATTTTGTAATGTTACTGATGGCTTCGAAGACAATTATTACAACTTCTTTCCAGTTTTTTTCTAGATCAGAGTTTATTTCAACTACGGATTCACGAACCTTTCTTAGAATGATATTGATTTGATCTTTTAAATTGTTTAACTTTTGGAATAATTCAGGAAGTTGATTTTTTAAAGAGTCAATACTTCGCACTACTTCTTTCAATGCATGTTTTAAAATTTCTGATAATTGCTGAATAGAAGACACTGCAAGAGATTTTAGTTTTTCTTGAGAAAGTGTTATATCAATTTCACTGTAAGCTTTGTCCATCATGTCAATAAACTCCATTGCAGAGACTTTACTACCCATTGCTGATTCATAAATATAATCGACAAACATTTTACTGTTTTGAATTGATTTGTTACTGAATGTTTCAATTATAGGTGAAACAGTCTGATATATCATAGAAGCAGTTTCTTGGTTCCAGTTCAAAGCAAGTTGACTAAAACCTTTTGAAAGTTGATACTTTACTGATGTTAGAGTTAATGGCTTTCCTTCATTCAAAGTTTGTGTGCTGAACATTAAAGTGTCATCATTCAGAATGTCAAAAACAAATTGAAAAGTAAATTTTGGTGAAATAGAAAACTGAGAGATGAATGAATTTTTTTCAACAAATACATTAAGAGAAATTTTGTTTTCATTGCAGAATGTCTGAAATGATGCTATCATGTTTTGAATATCACATCGAAGGATAACACCAACAGTGCGAGAAACAGTTTTTGCATTCAGATTTATAGATCTTTCTTGTGGATTATAGATAGCGTTTAAAGAAAATTCATTCATAAAATATGGATTGACATATAATGAAACTCCATCAATAGGAAATAATCCTGTAACGCTTAGTGTTTTATTAAAAACTGAAATGGATGCCAAGGCTGTGTTTTTTTCACGATTAACTTCAACATTCAAAGATATCCATTCTTCTTTTCCAAAAACCTTAAACCTTAATGCATCCTTTTCTAATTTTCCATCAAATGATATCAGGTTTCGAACATCTGGTAAGTTGAGAGTAACTTTCTCTCCAATATCATTAAAGCTCTTTGAGAGTTTCATTAGTGCTTCTTTACCTTTTGAAATTTGGAAAAAGAACGATTTTGTATCAAGTTCCATGTTAGTTCCAATATTTATTATCTCTTTATCATTCCAAACAAATTGATTCTGAAGATGTGAATTTTGAAAAACACTAATCCATTTTCCATTGTTCTCGAATGCAACAATAGTTAACTCAACTAATTTTGGTGAGTTCTTTAAGTGAGTGAAAGAAAAAAATAGGTTTTTTCCAATTGAAGAAGAAACAATCAATTCAGAATTGGTATGCTTGTATGTGTAAGTGGCACCTAAAGATCTTTTATATCCACTCCATTCAACACTACCATCAGTAATAAGTTGGTAGCCATTTTGACCTTCTAAGCGAGCCATAAACTTTGTAAACATCTTTGGCAAAAACTCTAATGAAGCATCAACTTGATAAAGAACTTTATTGAACTTAATACTATAGATGAGAATATTTGAAGGAATGTATTCAAACTCCACTACAGCTGATGCATCAGATTTACTGTTACTTATAGTTAGAGAGATTGAAGATTTACGATTAATGGCATATTGAATACTACTAACTAATGAAAATGATGTTTTATCAGAGGTTCCTAGATTTTTATACTCGGTTTCCCAACCATATTCATATGTTTTTTCAAATAAAACTGCACCAAATTTAAAACGGAAAACTTTAGATTTATCATTTAATTGTATTGCTGCAGCTTCATAAACATTAAATATCGTAGATTCACCCTTTCTAACTGTTACTCCAGACCCTAACTGGTAAATATTTACATTATTAAAAATACTGTAAAAATTCTCAATGCTATATTGGCCACCTGTCAATCGTAACACTACTTTTTTTTCCAATGCATTTTTGATGTAATTCATTTGTGCATTAACAGGTATAACTTTATCGTTAATAAAAAATTCAGACTTCATTTCTTTGTTTTCTCCAACAGTTGAGTAGTGTTGAAGAAAAAGTACTGATGTTTTCATGACTCGTGTTTCAAATCCAAATTGAAGTTCTTCATTATACTTCTTGCTAAATAATTTAAATCCAGTGTCGTAGTTTAAAACTTTGTAAGAAACTGAAGCTTCGCTGTCTATAAGTTTGTTATATTTAATGGTGACACGATTATTAAATAATAAGTTGTTATTGACCTTGAAATCAGTGTTGAGCTTAACTTGACTGGTATGTTTTTCAAAGTCTATAATAAACTCTACATTTTTCTCTCCTTCACCAGCAGTAAATGTTAGAGCGACTACTCGTTGGATAAATTCTTTATTACGCGAAGTAATCTTTGCACAACCAATTCCAGCCTGCTTTTCTAAATTCATAGTTTCATAGTATAATGTAGCACATAATGATTGAGTATCTTCTGTTTGGGAGTAAACATTTCTTAAACCAGCAGTATAGCCACCAGCACTTCCTCCAACAATGACTTTGTATCCTATGCTATTGTCAAGAGCAACAAATGCATTTAATTTACTTCCCATGACATCAAAACTAGAAACAAATGAAGGGCCGTCAGCAAGATATTTCAAAGATGCTTGTCCAGAATTTCCTGCAATATTAGCAGTGACATTTACTTCTTTAATTGAAGCAGTATTAACTACAAGGAACTTTGAAACTGCAGTTTTTCCAAAAATGTCTGCAGTTAATACTAATTCACTTCCATCCCCTTCAAATTTAAATTCAGAACGAAGTTGAGCTGCATGATCATTTACTAAAAGCTTAGTTTCAAAGGACCGTTGACCGTTAACATTCTCATAAGTGTAGGTATTTTTCAAAACACTACCAAATCCATTTACAGAAAGCAAAACTTCTTGTTTATTGGCTTCATTAAGGAACCCACCATAAAATGTTGACATTACATTCCCAGAAGATGCAACAACAGTAAATCCTCTTTCATTACCTTTTTTCTGATAATTTCCTGTGAGTTCAAATGATTTGTCTGCGACTTCAACTCGAGTAATAATTTTTTGTTCATCTGAATTGTATTCTAATACTCCAGTGATAGATTTTGTTGGATAATAAAGAGTAGATCCAGTTAATATAAAGCCTGTTTCTTTCTTAACAAGTTTGGTGACACTTTCAAATTTGTACCAATCATATTCTGTAGAAAAGCGTAAACCTATCTGATTAACATTCACTGTGTTCGAAGTGTTAAAAAATACAAATTTAGTTACAATGTCTTTCTCTGTAAAAAAATTGTTTTTTCCTACAACAGAGGTTTGATGGGTCACAGAGTTGTAGCTAAATTCAACAGATGCCATTTTATTTGACTTTTTAGCTGACAATGTTAAAGTTTTAATATCATCAACATCACTGAACAAAAACTCACCACCAAGTTTGCGTTCATAAAGTGCACCTGGAGTACTAAACTCAATCACTCCTGATGTTATTGGCTGTTTCTTTGTCATACTTACTAAAAATTGAAAAGTTTGCAGTTTTTCATCAGCACGGAATAATTTGACTCCAAAATGAGCTGGTCCAGACAAAGGAAAATAAGGTGCTTCATATTCACGAAATGAAACTGGCATGCGAATACTAGTACAGACTCCATAGCCAATCATAACAGACTTAAAGCAAGTTTCTTCTGGATTAATTTTTCTTTCAACACCTTCAACAGCTTCATTTTTTCCATTTAAATACATAAATGGAGTCGATCTAAATTGAAAAAAATGGAGTCGATCTAAATTAATCATTGGAAATGAATAAAATCAACTAATAATTTAAATGAAAAATCTTTTAAAAAATAATTTAATTATATCAAAATTAAAAAATCAAAAAAAAATATTAGATAGTAAAACTTGAAAATTAAATATCTTACCCAATTTTAAATAATTCAACTGGTTCCTCAGGAACGTCCATGTTAATTTTTAAGAGCTTTCCTTCTTGGTAAACAATTGCACCTTTAATAGTATTTGACACAAACATCGATGAGTTTACAAATACACCAGATGAAACAAAATGACCATCAACACCCATTTGTCCAGATATCTCAACAGCAGCACTGGGGTTTACAAACCCGTTGATAGTAAGGGAGCCAGGTCCCCAAAACATGTTTCGAATATCAAACTTTCCATTTAATTCAATACCTGCAACAGTTGTTCCTACAAGTTTGAGTTTCAATGGAAGACCAAGGCCAGTGGGAACAGTTTGCGTCATTTCTAAAAACATCATACTTTTGGTAAAAGTTTTACTACCACCCTTTGCAATATTTAACAAGAGTTGGATGACATTCATGTTATCAATTTGATCAACCATATAAAAAATATCATCATAACTAAATGTTCGAATTTCTTGTCCCATCACTTTAAATGATAAATGACCATTTGGCAGTTTATTTTTACGATTCACTTTTTTGTGTAACTCAGTGATACTGTCTTCATCAGTTGCTCGACGATTGCGCACAACAGATGGTTCTTGCTGTTCACGCTGTTGGGCTAAATCTCTCAGTTTTTGAGCAGTAATGTTGAAATTAAACAAGTTAAACACAAAGTTATTTTTTGAGAGAAATCCATCATTACCAGCAGCTTGCTCCAGCAGATCTTCCAACCCTTCAATACCAATATTAGTTTCTAACAAAGAGACAGGGACCCCAAGAACATTGGCAGTTAAATCAAAGAAAGCAGATTGTGGAAAATAGTTTTCATGGTTAAAAATAACATGACTTTCAATTGCCGCACCAGACTTTATTGATTGAAAATAAGTGGACTTTTCAAATGCTTTGGAATACTGATGGAACGGCATATTGAATTCCCTCAACGGTTTAATTTTTGTTATTTTTTCCAACAATGCTTTAGTACTAGATATAAATATTGATAAATATAAATATATGAGGAAAAAAAAGAAAATAAAATTTAGACATAAAACTGTGGAAAACAGTTATGTTACAATTACATTTTAGTGTTTTATCGTATTTGAAAATAGATCACATTCAAAACATAATAAATAATCAAAAATACCTTTCATGCTTTGGATTTGAGGATTCCATTATATTTGTCAAATAAGACCAAATAAAAGATGCAAGTTGGTTGCTGGGCTCCTGCTCCAAAAGATCAACAACATGTTCAAGTAAGATCTCATTTGGACATTTCATCAATGCAACAAATGCAGAGATGCGTTTATTTGGTGCATTAGAAGTTTCCTTGACAAAGTTGTATAGCTCATCAACAATAACTTTGTCACATGGCATATTTCCAATTGCATCAAATGCTGCTGTAGTGATATTGACATGCTCAGAGTTAGCAGCACATGAAAGAATTACAGAGCTTGCTCTGGATGGACGTTGAGCATTTGAAAGAGCTTTTAATGACATGAGTATTTCTTCAACACGTTCATAATTTTCTTGTCCTTCGCAATTTTTACCAAGTTTACCAATCAAAAAATTTTCAGCTTGAGTGATAATATTCGGCTTAACCTAATCAAAACGTAAACTTTCATATACACATATTTATATACACTTATATTTATTTTTTTACAAATAAATACTTAACAGGTCTTTAAATTGTTGGCAAACTTTTAAATACAACTTTTCCATTAAAAATTAAACAAAATAAATGAAATAAAAAAATAAAACAATAATTACATCATCACAGTCTGCAATATTTTTTTTGCAATGTCTGTATAAAATTGTTCCCAGGGTCAAATAACCTTGTCGAGTTGGTTGCTTAGAAACAATTCCCATTAAATCACGAATAATTTTTCTTGATGTAGTGGCAACTAAAGCTATGCTTTGCAAAAATATGTTCATTCTTTCACCAGTGATTGCTTCTTTGATAATAGCATCGTGGACCATAGTCACACAAGTAGATGTTCCACAATAGGCAATACCATCCAACAAGTATTGTCTTTAAAATTAATAAATGTGTAATAGTACATAATTTTTATTTGACATATACATATATATGTATACATATTTTTAATTTTTATAAATTTATACTTTCATATAAAATTTAGAGTAAAGGCATGTTTTCAGCTCTTTGAATCTTTAAATTGTCATGTAAAATTTAAAAGTATATTTTTTAATCTTTTTGGGCTTTCAAATTTCATCTAATTCCTTAATTTTTATTTTATTAGAACTTTTTTTAAAATGATTCAAAATTCAATAATAATAAATTGAAAATACTATGCACATATTTATTACAAATGTTTAATTACCTATAATAATTGTAATTACCTATAAACATCTCTAAGATCTACTTGCGAATTATCACAAAGTTTGCTTTCAATACAGTCAAAGTACTTGTCCCAAACGATGGTCATCCTTTTCATATCCATTTTACGCAATAAAAATACCATAGTTGAAAACTCATGGGCAGAATCCATTTTAACAGTAAATTGTTTGACTTCATTTGGTTTGGCTAGTCTTTGAATAGTTTCTTCAAACTCATCCTTCAAAGATTTTATTGCTTGGTTTTCTTCACTAGTATGGTCATATAAAATTGATGACTCTTGCATTTTTCCTGTTTGTGAAAATTATCTGACATTTATAAACAAGTTTCCAAAAATTATAAGAAATTGCTTTAACTATTCCATAATGTCATATTTTAAAAAAACAGCATTATAGAAACTTGTTTATTATTAAACTAACTAACTAACTAACTATATATATATATATATATATATATATATATATATATATATATATATATATATATATATATATATATATATATATATATATATATATATATATATATATATATATATATATATATATATATATATATATATATATATATATATATATATATATATATATATATATATATATATATATATATATATATAGTTAGTTTAATATTAAACAAGTTTCCATAATGTTATTATTTTTTTTTAATATACTTTTTGTACTTTTTTTTTAAAAAAATAGTGTCATATTAGGAAAAAGTTAAAAAACTTTGTAAAGATAAATTTACCATCAATAATCTTTGATGTTATTGAACTTGCTTTAGATTCTTGTAAATTTGATAAAGTTTGTTTAACAGTTGTAACAGCTCCTGATGGTGCCTTGTGGCCAGCAGAGAATGGTTTAAACAAATGAGTCTCTTCACAACTAACAGAGTTAATGATATTTCCAGATATTTTGTAAACACATTTGCTGTTAGAGTCCAGAACCTTAAGATCACTTTCAGATTTAATTGTTGCTGCATGGAAACCTAAAAATAGACATAGATTAATTAAACATTAAGCTATATATATATATATATATATATATATATATATATATATATATATATATATATATATATATATATATATATATATTTAATTGACGTATTTTATTGGTATTTTTAATGCAAAATTTAATTACTTATTTTATTAAGTATACATATAGCATAGAAATTCATGTCATTGCATCCCTATCCTTAAAAAATATATTTTCTCTAATAGTCCTTGTTGCTACCACTTGATAATTCTTGGAGTTATGATTGGTAAACATTTTTGATTAAAACTTAACAGATTTTAACTTTTTATTTAATACTTCTTTTTGTACTTAAATCTTTTATAAAATTTCCTTTTACTTTTTTAAAAAAGTAAAATGAAAGTATTTATTATATAAATGATTATGTACAATACAGACCTATTTCTTGAATAGTTCGTTGACTGCAGTCAGAAAGTTTTTTGGATTTTACAATTTTTCCATCTTCTTGAGTGATTGTTGTCTTACAAAAACCATTGACATCACTTTCAACAGATACACTTTCTTCTAATTGAATGGTGCTTAGAATACCTCGTTTAGTATTCAAAATATACACAGGTTCATCTTTATTAGAAAATAGCTTTGTAATTTGATTTTCTATAAAAAAGTATAATAGTATCAAAAGTTAAAACTAAATATATATACTTTATATATATATATATAAAGTATATATATATATATATATATATATATATATATATATATATATTATATATATATATATATATATATATATATATATATTGTATTAAAAAATATAATATTGCACAAAAATATACCACTCATTGAAAACACAAGGTCATATTTCTCCAAAGCAATTTTGAAATTTTCTGAATCAGCACTTTTAACAAAGCTGTCCTGACTCATGCTTTTTTGCAAGAGCTCTGTTTTTGAAATCTGAAATAGGATAACACATATGTACTAGAAGTGTATATAAACCAAAAACTTTTTTAAATAGAACATATAAAATATCATAATTCTTTACGGATTGCTTAAGATTCTTTAAAATTATTTGAAAAAAAACAACATATAACTGTATAAAAATATTTCCTACTTACTTTCATGTAAAACTTGCATTCATCTAAGGGAGTAATGGTAATCTGAGCCTTAAGTTTCAAACCGGTCGCCTGCGTCGACACCCCATCAATTTTGTTCAATGTTTCTCCTTCATAGTCATACGTATAGTCTAGACCCTGCCTTAATCGGGATGCTGAAAAAAAAATAATAACAAATATAATAATAATAACAAATGGTTTTCACAAAATGAATTTTTAATATTATAGTATAAGAGTTAACTTGTTTTGAATTTTTTTTTTTTTTTACTTATTTGATTTTTATTACTATTATGACTTTTTTATTCCTTTTTTTATTTTGATTATATTACTAGCATAGCAAAACGTTTATAAAACATAACTTAATTTTATTTTGAAAAATTTAACAATTAAACAAATAAGTAAGAATATAACCAAATTTTTATTTGCAAGTTATACTCATTAAATAATGTTAAAGAAAATCTTAAAAAAGAGTGAAAAGCATAACTAAAGATAGTAAGATAAATAAGAGTGTATAAGAAAAACTAGTTGAATTTGAAAGTTATGTGTAGTGAGTTTAAGTGAATGCGAAGAATGTGAAGAACTAGTAAAATACTACTAGTGGTAATATGATAACTTCATATATTACTATGACTACTAATATATCAAAACTGAAGTCAGAATGAAATAAAACATAATTGTAATAACATAATTACTTCTGATATTATTAAGACTCAATTTTGTAAAAAAATTTGATCGTAAAATAAATGAGAACAATGTACCTTTGCACCCAACATCTTTAACTTCCGCTCTTGGAAGATCTTTGTCCAGCACCCAAAACGGAGCTAAAAGTTATAGATATACTTCTTATATTTTATATTAATTAAACAAAATAATTTCAAAAAGTTTTGTTTGAAATAAAATACTATAAATACTATAAAATAATAGAAAAAGAAAACAAAAGTATTACATTAAAAACAAAGAAGAATTAAAAAAATGTTTCAAATTTTCTTGAACTTGTCAAATAATATTCACTTAGTTAATTGTATTTTGATAGATATGCTTTAAGTCATCATTATTTTTACCATCTTTAATTCATCTTGGCATTATTGATTGTTTCAAAAATTAGTCAATGTTGGGATAATTATCATGGTTATACCATGATAATCACCGTCAACATTGACTAATATAAATGTATTTAAACTACAGTATTTCTGTATTTCTAGTTTACTCTAAATATACTTTTCAAATAATTTTGTTGTTGCCTAAATTGTATTTAACAATGTCAACTTTTGAAGTTTATAATAAATAAATGCATCATTTATATATTTAATAAGCGTATTTTGCTTCCGAGAAATAATATTTGCGGGAAAAAATTTTCCAACACCTTAATGTCAGATCTGTATAAAACGCAATTTTTTATTGCGAATAAAAACCGAAAAATAAAACTTTTATTTTTCCAGGTTTCAAACAAAATACTAAAAAAAATTTTAATAAATTTTAATATCTGATCAAAATAGCTTCTCCTAAAATATATTCCACTGTTAAAAATTCAAGTAAAATCGGAATCTTTGAGTAATTGAGGTTGTATAAAATGTTGGTATAAAACGTTTATACTTATTTCGCTTAACAAGGAAAATGTTTTAACTTGTCATTCTTTCCAATGTTTATGTTTGTAACTTATATTATATATATATATATATATATATATATATATATATATATATATATATATATATATATATATATATATATATATATATAAACATATATATATATATATATATATATATATACATATATATATATATATATATATATATATATATATATATATATATATATATATATATATATATATATATATATATATATATATATATATATATATATATACAGTGCCGGATCAAGGGGGGCTTAGCCCCGGGCCCCGCAAATTTAAGGCCCCCAAAAAATTTAGAGGATCTTTTTTTTTTTTTTTTGATAGTTATTTTTAGACTCTGGATCATAAAAAGGCTCCAAAAACAAAATAAGTTCCAAAAACAAAAATAGCCCCGGGCTATATATATATATATATATATATATATATATATATATATATATATATATATATATATATATATATATATATATATATATATATATATATATATATATATATATATATATATATATATATTCGCTCAAAATGGAAAATGTTTTAACCTGTAACTTTAACTTAGTAACTAATATTAAACATTGGGATATGTTGAAAATATGGTATATGTCGAAAAATATTGGATATGTCGAATATTTATTAGAAAATATTCTGATCTTTATGATTTTTTTTTACTATTTTATGTAAATAAATAAATAAATAGGTTGTAATTCAATTTTAAATATTTAAAGTTGGTTTACAATAGTGAGATTTGATCTCACTCATAGCAAACCGAAAGTATTATTTTAAGTTCATTAATTTAATGAAAAAACTTTTTTCATTAAATTAATGAACTTATAATAATACTTTCTACCTAAATTTTTAATAAAAAATGCTTTTTAAAAAATATTTTTTTTAAAAAATTTAAGTGAAATCTAAATAAAGTACTTTTTAAAATTTAGGTAGAAATCTGAGTAAAGTACTTTTTATAACAATGTTATGAAAAGTTTTTATCAAAAAGTTTGTAAAAATTTTTTGTATATATTTTTTTCATTCAATTTTCGAATTTATCAAAAGTTACAAATCACCACAAAGTAAACGCACGACGACATTTAGACGTCATTTGTTTACTGGGTAATGCGTGCGCGTGATTGTTTTTTGTTTTGTTTTGTTGTTTTTTCACTGTATGTTTTTTTTTTCCATTCAACCTTTCTATAGCTAGTTTAAAATCAAAATTGTTAGCAAAAATTTTTTAATTTAGTAAAGTTCAGAAATTATTGTGCTGAAAATTAAACTGCGTTTATGTTCAAACTAATTTTTTGAAGTTATACCGAGAGCTAAAACATGACCCAAGTTTGGAGATCTACGCTCTTATTTCCACTGTGACACACAAATATTTACATGAAGAATGAAAACTATTTGTTTAACATGTCACGAGTTTCGAGTCAACAACAAAGAAGAATCATTTCGCCTCAATAATCTCATAAACACTCATGAACAATAATCTTATAAATAATCGGCTGAACAACGTTATAAGCTCAGTATAAAATAAGCTCATTTTGTCTGCTAAAAGATAATGGATTTGAAACCGTTTCTTTTACGTTTACAATTGTGTTTACATTTTTGATTGGGCCGTTCAGTCCTCTTTTTAATTAAGGAAGGTTTCTAAGCTTCACAACTTAAGATTGCACGTTTTGTGTCAGACTTTTTTTAATATAGGTTTAACTTCCCATGAACTCTCAAGAAAAACCCAATCAAAGATTTAACTTTGTAAATTTTTATAGTTATATGAAAATATTTTATGAGAGCCGAACACTTGCCCGGGGTCATTGTATAAAACATGGTTGACATGATTTCTTGGGCCCTAAAACTCTTGTGACCATAATCCCTCGTATATTCAAACATGCTAATACGTAATATTATATACGAAAATCAACTTTTATTTTCAGCCCATGAGGTTTCATTTTAAGTTTGCAGGAAAGTTCGCAATTTACTTATTTTCAATAATGTAAAGTACAAAGCAAAGACTATTTGCTCCAACCCCCCCCCCCCCTCCATGTTTGCTGTAACATTTATAGCAATTACTTATTGATTCTTCTTTTCATTACAAATTAATATAAATGTGTTTTCAATATAAAATATTCTAAAAATATTTTTAATAACATTTGTTTGAAAATATTTTCATTAAAACTCAAAAAAAATCCTCTCCACATTTTCCGTTTATTTATATATGTAAACCGCCTTTATTTGTTTAATAATGTCACAAAATATTTTAAATAAAAGAATTTTTGTCTCTAAAATAAAGATAAAAGTAAAACGACATCTTTATTGCCGCCAGAATCGCGCAAATTAAATTCTAAACTGTTTTTTATTCAAGCAAAGATACTGCAAATGCTCGTATGCATTTCTACTAGAATTAGCTCATCTATTTCCTCATATATATTACTTTGATGTTGAAAAAAATATTTAAAACAACAACAATTTTATTAATAGCTTCTTGTAATAATTCTGGTAATAATAAGTACACTGTTTAAATAAATTTGTTTGGCAGGTGACGACCCAATTTTTAATGGTTACATAACACAGTGTTAATGTTTGTGTTATGTAACAGAGAAGCATAAATTTTTATTATTAAGTATGTCTGGTCTGAATTGAATAAATAATAAAATTTTAATGAAACAAAATTTTGATAAATATGATCATTCTGATGAATGTTTTTTATAAACAAGTATTAATTTTGTAAATATATAAATGTTGTACTTGTAATTTTTTTTTGTTTATACAAAAAGTTATAATCATCATTTCATTTGTATTTAAAAGTTTTTAAAATATTTTTTAAGAAATTGCGAAAAATATAAATATTTGTAAATAATTCTATGAGAACAAAGTTCATTTAAATCTAAAAAATATCATACCTGCCAGCGTATTCGCTGCAAAAAATATCAATAACCCTAACTTCATAACGAAGTCACACCAACGCACATAAAATGCAATATACAATATACGAAAATGTCGACTGTTAGCTAAAAATTAGCAACTTTCGAAAGCAATGCTTTATTGAAAACTATAGAGGTACAGCCAACTATAACCAAATGATGATTTAAAAGAAACGTCAAGGTACTACTTATTCAAAAAAAGCAATCCCGGTGGCCATAGAACAATGGCATGCTGTGTTTAAGAACAAAGCAAATAGTCATGTGATAGCTTATCCAATCACTTTTTGATCACTAACGCTCAACGCCAATGGTTTTGGCAAAGAATATAAAAAAAGAACCAATCACAATGTTGATCATCTACATAAGTGTCAATCATTACACATTTACCTAAGCTATGCATTACATCAAAAGTAAAATGAAAATTTTTTTCCTTCAGCTTAAAAATTATTTTTGCCTCCTAACATTTCTGAAAGAGCTTATATAGGTGCTTAGTATCTATAAATGACGTCATAGAAAGAAGTAATTAAAATTTGAAAATTATTAAAACTAATTAAATACATAAAAATACTAATAAGTGTAATTGTAATGTAACTGTGAGATTAATTAAACAAAGTTATACTCTATAATTTTAAATGAAATATTTTAAATACTAAGATAAGGATATGTTTTAAAAATTACTATCAATTATTATTTTTAATTTACAATTCATTTTTATTTATGAGTTTGAGCAAAGGTCAGTTTTAAAGTCACTGATGTAGGTCTGATGTTTACATTCCTCTTTGTAACTAAATATCAAGTTACTGTTTTTCGGAAAACTTAAGACATTGTTTAAATAGCAAAGTAAATAAAAAATCATTTTAACAAAAATAGGTTATATCCTCTATATCGAAAGCATAGAGTTGAACTTTAAACTTTGTCAAGACTTGCTTAGGCAAATTTCTTTGTGTTTATATTTCTTAGAAATCTTGTTAGTATCTATAAAACTTTCTTAAAATTTTAACAGCATCTCATATTAGCATATATTTATTGACAGCATATATTTATTGGGATGAAGAAAATAGCACAAGCAGAAGGGGAAAAGGCAAAAAGATGGAGAAGCTCTGTAAAAAAAAAAAAAAAAAAAAGAAATTATTAATTAAAAATTTAATTAATAATTTCTTAATTAATCCGAACTAAGCAACTGTCATTTTCTTTTTTCAAATTTTTTTTAAGTTTTAAAGATGTATTCTAAAAATGTCTTATGTGAAAAGTATTTGAGTATAAAACCTGATAGAGACAAAGGAAAAGGAAAAGGAGGGGAGGTGGGAGGGATACAAATGAGGTATTTTTAAGTAAACAAAAGTGAATAACTAACTTTAAATAATTTTATATTTGCATTCAGTGTAAAAACTTATTTTAATCGAAAATCAAACATTTATACCGCTAATGAATTTTAAAACCTTTATTTGTTTTCTCTGTCGTTTTGAATTTTAGTTTATTTTGATGATTTAAAAAACTATAATTGTCTCAAACAAATGCTAAAAATGAGTATTGTTAAATGTTTTATAATCATCTGTCAAGCAATTTTTAAGTTTTTAACGTTATCTATTTTTATTTTTTATTATTAATAAGATAAAATAAAAATTAATGAAGTCAATATAAATATAATATGACAGAACATTGCAACATATTTATGATAAAAAAAATATATATTTTAATTTGTTTATAATAACCATCGAGTTAATATTACAGTAGATACTTTGATAATCCATTTGATATAACAGTGTCTATTTCGAAAAAATCGTATTGCTGATAAAAATGCAAAAACGGAATTTTTTTATTGAAGTTTTGTCAAGTATACGCTTTGGTATATTTTTATTAATTTTTGGGTACCTAAGTCACTCTTAGACGTGTTTTTTCAATAACTGTAAACTATAATGTGGCACATAAAAAAGATTTGGGGTGTCACCAATCTTGTGAAAATTATTTTTTTTAGAGCATTAAAGTGTTTGGAACTTAGTATTTATTTTTATTTATTTTGTATTTGTTTTATTACAAAAGAAGTGAAAGAAAAAAAACAAAAAACGTTAACAAATACTTAGTCTCATTACAGTTAATTGTTATTTAGAATGTTACATGTAAGCATGGTGGTTCAGTGAAAAGAATTTGCTTGCAAGTTTATTTTACAAATAAAATTTTGTGTTTTGTGATAGTGGTTGAAGAAACTAATAACCAGGAAAAAAAAGTTTTGGAAAGATTTTATTATGCGCTTTAGTAAGAAAACATCATAACATTTCTTTGGCATTTTTAATTTCCTCACATCAGTTCTTCCATTTTCAAACAACATTTTTTTTATATCAAATTAGTTTTATTTATTTTTTATCTCCTTTTTAAGTTTGTCTAAATCTAAATAAATTTGAACTTAACTTTTTTTGTATATTTTATTGGTTAAACCCTCTACCACATTATGAACTATCAGTCGACTGCCACGCCTGCCCTTTAACCGTTGCGGCACGCTCTAACCAAAGAGCTTAAACCAGCAGCCAGCGCTCAAACCAGCTCAAACCAGCTTCCAGCGCTATAAACATTGCGCCAGGTAGCCGTGGTGAAACGGTTAGAGCGCTTATTTTAGAAGCGCGAGGTTCAGGGTATATTTTGCGCCATCGGTAGGGAAGGAGGCGTGAACTTTTTTGTTAAATTCTATTGCGCGGTGTTCTGTGACATTACCGTTAAGTCTTTATGAGCAAATTAAACAAAAATAAAAAAAAAAAATTACATGATGAATAATACTCTATTAATTTAACTCTTATATTTATAGTTAAATACATAACATTTGTTTTATAACATAATTTACTTTATTAATTTTTATTATAATTATAGAAACTTTAGAATTTTTTGTAGTATTAAATAAAAAACTTATTCAAAATAAATAAAAAACATGTTAAATTTCGCATTAACTGCTTTCAGCAATACATTAGCTAATTATTCTTTTTGTAACTGTCAAAAATAGTATGGAAACATATTTTTATGCTCACAACAAAAACCTCTTGACTAAAAAATCTTCGAAAGTATTTCACAAAAAAATTATTAACAAATCAATCTACGACATTAAAATTTTAATTTACAGCATTTGCGACATGCAACTTGCGGCATGTCGGTAATGCAGTAAATTTTGTCGTTATATAGATTTTTGACATCTGTCAAACTAATTTAAATCTTTTACTTAATAACTTTAAAATTATTAAATAATAAAATGCTTTACTAGTATGCGCAAGCAACACAATAAAAAACGACAAAATACAGTAAGACAAACATAAAATACAGTACAAAATACAGTAAGACAAACATAAAATAAACGTTAAATTACGGCGGTGGCAGTGTGGGGAGGAAAACCAATTATTTTTCTCTTTTTTTCTTATTAAACACTATATTTTTATCTTTACCAAAATGTACATTGTTGATCGAAATTTTTATCAAGCTAATTTTAACGACGGAACTTTGTGAATCTAGTGGGTCCATTTCAGGTTAAGCCCCCGAAAACGGTTATGTATGGATCTTTTTTGTTTAGCGTCTTTGTTTTTCTTTACTTAAATACCTAATTAGGCCATTTGAATATTTTGAATGACATCTTCTATATATTCCAAGGTGTTGGTTTGAAATCAGTGGAAGGTACGCAGCCTTATGTACTGGGAACTGCTTCCGCCGTATAATACATTTACAGTGACAGCCTGCTGTGCAACTAACACACTGCAACCACCATTCTCACATTGCAAATCAATCCCTAACCTATTTTCGGTTTAATTTATTCTAGTTCAAATAACTTTGGTATTGTTTTTTTTTTTTATTGTAATTTAAAAATTACAATAACAAAAAGTTATCTTTTATTTAACTTTTTCGTGTTTTCTTCAAACTTTTCGTGTTTTCTTCAAACTTTTTTTATACTATTAAAAAAAATAATTTGTAATTCTTTTATTACTTGAGATCATGACACTTTTAACTTTACTAAAAAAAATTTTTAAATGTTTTTTGTAAAATTCTGCACAATAAATAACTTATTTGCAAATAAAAGAAACAAACTTGTACCCTATAACGTTGATTTTAATACAAGTAATACGTTTTTTACTCTTTTGACCTTGTTAAATATCCTGCAAAATTTTCGGAAAAAAAATTGCAAACCAAAGCTATAAAAATAAAATGTCAAACGTAAGAAGTCACGCTCTTAGAAAAAGAACTTCTCTTTTGAAAAAAGATCAGCTTTGTTTAAAATTAAAAAAAGCTAAATATAGTGGTGAGGGACAACTGCGTGTAATTTAAAGCATCTGAAATAATGTTAGAAATCTTAAACACTACATTAAGATATCTCTACAACACAGTACTGGTAAACAAAAAAATCTATCATTTATCTGGCTGGATATTTGTTTTTTTTTTATAGTTACTTAATTCCTAAAGGAAAATCTATAAAAAATAAAGTTGAACAAACATTATGCATTCAAAGTAAAAATGCTTTTAAAGTAAAAAACAAATATTTTTCAGCTGTCTAGTTCATAATTTCCGGCAAGAATATGGCCAGCCGGATTTGACCGGATACTAGACAATTATGTAACCCTCGAGTAAAAAAATGTACATATATTTACTTTATATTTATTTAGCCGGAAAAACGTGGAAACTTGAATAGTCGTTATATTTTTTTAAAAAATTAACAATATCGGGTACACCTTTTGATAAATTCTATGATTACGAAAATATTTCTGGTTTATTATAATTATTATTAATGATTAATGCTGTTTATATACATGCATACTTAACATTTCTACCGCAAACAGCGTTAAAATACGTCTAAATTTAAAAATTAATTAACATCTTTTGGTTTAGTGGACACTCAAGAATTAACACTAGAGAAAAAAAGTAAAATAAGGGAGAACTAGCTAAAACAATGATCCGTACGGTTTCATGAACTCATGGAAAAAATTAGTTTTTTGTAAATATTAGTCCTATTTTATTATCATAAAAACTAATTAACTCATAGTTAATTAGTTTTTTGTAAATATTAGTCCTATTTTATTATCAAGTATAGCAACTTCTCAAATACACTTTGAGTCTTACGTTACCTCAAACAACATTAGTGTTATGTCTAATCCTAAACTTACGGAGAAAAAATTATTAGATGCAGTCTCTTTGTTAAAGCCCAATA